GGATAATCGTCATACTTCAAATTCTTTTGGAAATATTTTCATTAAATAACATTGTTACATATTTAATTCTATGTATGTTAACATAAAAACTGCATTTAGCAGCTCAACAAATTTCATTGCGAAAATTCTCTTTAGTATGTACAAACAGTAGTAATTGAATTCTAAGTAAACCAAAGATTTCATCATTAAAGGAAAATTATATAAAACCTATTTCCATAAGTCAGTATAATAGATATTTTATTGAAATAAATATTTAATTACGTATCTCTTTAAACATTTCATTCATTATAGTTCTTCGAGTCAGCAGTGTCCATTGGTTTAACTCTCAGAGTTCAACGAGTAGTATCAATCGATATTATGAACCCGAAAATGTTTGACGTACAAAAAAAACAATGACAGTGCACCTCTTATCTATCATAAATGCTCAATTATTACGAAATTGACAGTGGTTGAGTTTTGAATTAGCAAATATACGTTTTCTTGCCTGGAAATAATCCAACAAATATAAAAATTTTACAATGTCATAATTTTAATGATAAAAAAACATATACAGAATTTATATGTATCTCTAAAAATACCAATGTATTATTAATGAATGAAAATTAATATATTTATAATAAAAAGCTTTACAGCATTTATTCACTATCTCAGGATAATTATATCTATTGCATCTAAATGAACAAATATAACGGAAAAAATTATTAGCTTTTAATTAATTAATTTATTGAAGCTCTGAAAAAAATATACCTATGGTAATATTACATAATTAAATGCAAATAAATGTGTATAATTATTAGCATATACTTACTTCTTTAAAAGTACTAAATCATAGTAAGTAATTTTTTTTTTTAAAAAAACTTATAATTAAAATTGATATTCTCATTAAATATACTCTGTAATGTTATTTTTTTATTTATACCACACAATTAGTACAAAATGATAAAAGTTAGAACAAAATGAATGTGAAGCCACAAACATGTCATCAACATAACATCTAAGAAAGTGGTTCATATTATTACCTACTGCCATGCCCAGTGCTCTGATGAAGCCACTGCCAGCGGTCTTTAAACCAAAAGGTATTCTGCAGAATTGATATAACGTGCCTTTAAACAAAAATGCTGTATAAGGTCTGGATTCAGGATGCAAAGACACCTGCCAGTACCCATGACTGAAATTCAGTGTCGTCATGAAGTTTCGACCTAGCGAATCCTGAGTAAGCTACTGAATGGATGGTGGGGACTCATTATCTCATTCAATTATCGCATTAATAAATCTCGCATCGAGACACATCCGAACTGTTCCGTTTTTTTTTCATCACAATTCGAAGTGGATTACAAAAGGGACTAACTGATCTCTCAATGATTTTCTGATCTAACATGTATTGGATCTCCTTACTTACAGCTTCACGAATCTTAAAGGGTACAGGATATGACTTCCTGACAATTGTTTTAGAATTAATCAATTTTATTCGGTGCTGATAAACCCAAGTGCACCCGGGTTTATCCGAGAACAATAACTGATACTTCAATAGCAAATCAATCAACGCTTTCGACTGAGTTTCGTCTAGTCCCGTTAGCTTACCAGCGACGCCCTGCAGAGTTTCAAGAAATGAGTTTCAAGCCGACACACCACCCATACCAATTTTAACTTGAGGTAATTTCCTCTTTCTCGGCCCACTCTGTTTATCATTATTGTTATTTTTCTAACTTTCCATGAGGTCCTGGATTAAGAAGCCATAACCGGTAGGACGCGACAACAGACCTATACTTATCGCGTCACCATCTAGTTTAAATAATTTACATTGTTACAAGAATTATTTTCTATTATTCTGTCACGAGCTACACTTGGAGCAACATTGAGCCCACGACCAACGTTCGACTTTGGAGGAGGAAATCTGGTGTCTGGAAATGACCACGCATGAGTTCGATTTGAAACCACAGGATTTCGATTATCACAAGTTTGAACTTGATTTCTATAACAACATTGCTGATTGTTATTATTATTAACATTCTGAGAATAACTATAAAATTATTTTTCAACACCACGTTTCCATCTCTTATTTACTCTGATCGCGTTGATACCATTATGAGCTACACCACTGTGATTTGAATTCTGCTGAGAATTACTATTGTTGTTATTGTTATCATAATTATTATTACTATTTTCATAATTTTTATTCTGCTCCTCTTCGTATTGATAGGTACTATCGAGCTGCATCAGCGTTTGAGCAACCATTTTAGTATTAGATAAATCGACTAATGACAATGCCATTCTTATACTTGGCGGGTATTGCAATACTACTGAATAATTTATTTCATACTCAGACAGAGAATCATATTATTTTGCTTCTCTGACTTGATTGTAAGAATAAGCTTGTAACGTGCCATCTGAAGCTCGGTTGTACTTTCTTAATGACCATTTATTTTTCCATCTTACTTAAACAGGGACAGAATAGAATTCTTGTTTATATTCATCTTTAAATTCACGAAAACTATTTATTTTTGATTTTATTACTCCATACCAAATTTTAAGTCTATCTTCTAATAAACCATCTATGACCAACAGCTGGTGCTCCTCACACACACTCTTTAATCGTAAATATTTTTCAATTTCTTCAAGAAATTCAAGAGGATTTGTATCTTCACTAAATTTAGGTACCTTAATATTTGTTTGTAAGTACTGGAATTGACTCACCAAACTATCAATTATTTTATTTTCCGTTGTATCCTGAACATTGTTTTCCTGTACTTGACGAGCCGCCATTTGCGCCTGTTGAGCTTTTAATCTGAACTGCTCCTGCTCAATTAACTGCTTCGCCTGCCTTATTCGTTCCCATACCTCCTGAATTTTCTGAGTTTCAGCCATTTGTATCACATTGCTTTCTTTTCTCTGCAAATTCGAGATCTATGAGAAATTCTATCAATAATATTGTCTCTTGCTTCCCTACTCGTTTCCTTTATTTCAAGTCTTTCTGATTTTCGTATTTTCATTTAATTTAATTATTTAGAAAATAAATTTCGACGTCAATTTAAATTAATTACCTTTATGTACAATTTTAAAAACATTAGACAAAACAATAAGTTTTATACAATATCAATTCCAAAATTATCATATAATATTTCAAGCAACTCGGTTGGTAGAGTCTATTTTTATTTGTAAGTCTTTGCCTACTCGTCGGGCGCCAAATATGTAATGTTATTTTTTTATTCATAACACACCATTAGTACAAAACGATGAAAGTTAGAACAAATTTCAATAACGAAACATAGAGCATGAATTATTCGATTTTGATCACTTAAGAAATACAAATCAAGTACATGAGCATAAAAGAAAATCATATACATGTTAAACGAAAACGATTTAAATCCAATTCTATTAACAAAATGATAATGATTCAGTAATAGAGCCTTTATGGCCTGACCACGCTGACGCAAAAGGTCACGATTTGACTTAAGGTTACAATGTTTAATACTTTTCATACCGTAGTCGGGAGAATACTTCTCCAGGTAATCCAGGAACCTCCAAAGAATCGGTGAAGTCCTGATCTGGATGTCTGGTTGGTACTCGGTCCCCAAACAACACCCAAGATCAAAGCCAAAAGAGATGAGGTTTCAGAAATTCCCAAAAGAAAAAGGTGTGAAGAAGTACCGTCTGGTAGCCGTATTGCCAGGCCGGCGTCCGGAAGCCAAAAGCCGGTGAGACAAATTTTGCAGATGAATGTAGTGTCATGAGGATGACCCCACTCCTAATGAGAATACTTCGGATGAACTCTAGCGCGGGCTAATTAACATAATATAAATAGGGCACTGAGATAGATTCACTGTAAATCTTATAGTCATCAGTATCTATTTAATCTAATTATTGACTGAAGAAAATAAATAAAATTCAATCATGTTGTCTTTCATGAATATTTGAAGAACATTATGCTATATACTTGTTAGATTATGATTCTTTTTTGCATCTTCAGTTCAATAAAGTTTACTAGATATTGAATCAATTTGAGTTTATTCTGTTGTAAATATTGAATTTTATTTTTATTATGAGAGTGGTAATTTATTTACTTGTCAATATACGGGGAAATAGTTGTAAAGAGTCTCAAAATAAAACTAGAATCTCTCGAATACATCTACAGATTTGGAGGTTTTTAAAATAATTTGTAACAGTTTTTATATTCAGAGTTCTGTCTAAACCTGAGTTGTATTTCTCTACATTCCACTCTAATGGAGTGTTGGAATGATCATAATATATTTAATAATGACAAATGATATCATTAATATGAACTTTTTCATGTTTATAGAGTAATGTGAATGATGTTCGTGCGGATTCGGGACATTATGTTCTTTGTGATTTTGGATCAGCTAAGGCTAAAGTATTAAATCCTACGATTCATGGTGCGACCATAGTAGAAGACGAAAAAAAAACATGTACTAGTTTAAGCTACAGAGCTCCAGAAATAAATAAATCATGTTCTTTCATATTGCCGTTTGATGAGTGGACATTAGTAATTCAATCAGGAAACTTTAATATTCAGGATAGCTACAGGTATTTTATTCTAATTATTATAAAGATAAAGATAATACTTACTTCTCTATTATAACAGGTATAGAAAAGTATTACACAATTTAATAAGATATATGTTAGAACCAAAACCAGATTTACGACCTGATGTTTTTGAAGTATCAACAATTGCATTCCAATTATATGGACAAGAATGTCCAGTTCATCATTTAAATGTAAGTTTTACACACATTTAACACCACATTCAATTTTTAATCTGAAAATTTTTTCATAAAATGATAGAAATAAAATTTGAACTTGATAAAATTATAGTAAAAATTATTTTTCATTTTGTTTTCATTTTAAAATTGAAATGATAAATTCAATTTTATACCACCAGATGTTACGACACGTAATGTCCTACTAACCAATCGAAACAACTCTACAATCACGTGGAATGCTTGAACGTTGGCCGGCAGTGTTAGTTGTTGTTTACTTCTCGTTCGAGGTGGATTATATTAAATATTTTATTTATAAAAATTTTGAAAATGCCCAACAAACTGGAAAATAAAGTTTACGATAGACATTCCTATATATTCTGCAAGGAAACCGAACACTTTATGTAAGTATTATAAATAATTTACAATATTATTATAATTATAAAACTCTGGTTATTGTTCGTTGAATTTCGTTGATATATTTATTATTATAATACTTTTTCTTCTAAAATGACTTATCAAGTCGTGAATAATTATGAAACTCAATATCATTTGTTCTTTTGTTTTATTAATTTAATAATAGTCAAAAATACTTTCATACAAATGTGAATAAATGATTTTATCAGGAAAAAATTATTTTAAAAACAAAAAATTCTGATACGCAATTGCAGTAAATTTTTATACACCATATCATCATTTCATTATTTTATATAAAAAATAATAAGATTCATTTACTTTGACATTACTTTTTTTCGATAAATATCTTTAGAAATATAGGGATGATTTTTAGATGTTTTGACTTCATTTTTCATAATCAATTTTTTCGTTTAATTCAAATTTCAACGTGTTTTAAAACACAAGTTCTAAGAATTAAAGTGCCGTCAAATGAAGATTAAAATAGAAAATTGATATTAAAGATAACGAAAAGTCATATATAGATCAATTCATTTTAGTTTTTTTGAATTTTTCTTTTTTGTTTTCATACAGAAAAGTGAGGTGTAAATATTATCAAACGCATTCATGCGAAGGTGCAGGCATAATTGAAAACAACATATTCACCCTTACTGCAAATCACAATCACAGTGCAGAATCTACTCTAGCTAAAGAAAATGATCTTAAAAACAAACTGAAAGAGGCTTATCGTAACCAATTACGTTCGACATATGAAATTTATGACAATATTATAACAACGTATGTTTTTCTTTTGTTTTAAAGTATTATAAATTTATTATAAATATCACAGCTTACTATAATTTAAATAACTCTTCCATTTATAGACAAGAAGATAAATTTTCAGTCCCATGAAGTTCACAAGAAGCCAACATGTATAAATGGCATCTCGACATGAATTTACCTATTGTATCATCAATCAACCAATTTTCAACTGTCCTTCATGATCCAAAATATGCTGAATTAACTCATTATCAATTTGGAGAGTTAAAACATTCAATGTTCATTAAATTTTCAAGCGGTTTATCTTCATGACCAATTTTTATTCGATAAATTGTTAGAAAATAAACATAATGGTGTTTTATATTTTCGATCAACACAAGAAATAATTCCTCCTGGTATGAATATAAATCAGTGTTTGACATGTGTCATCCCGAAACATAAACACGTAAATATATATATATATATATATATATATATATATATATATATATATATGCCCAAATATCTTTGTCGCCTCCGTACGTAATCCACGCGTCCAAGCCTCTACTCAAATAAATGAATGTTTCAGTGTATAAACAGCATCATAATAGTGTTTAATATATTCTAAACAAAATTATTTAGAGAGGGGTAATTAATTCTTCATTCTGACTTATACAAAAAAATGCTATAATCGAGGTAACTACTTGACTCCACACAGTAAGAAGACTGTCTAGATTCCCATGTATTTCAATGGAACTATTGTACATACGCTCGCGCATCCAGCGGAGTTGCCACAGCTCCTAACATTCAAAACCCAAAGAAATCATACCACCTTTTGGGGAAAAATGAGTTTTGCGGATTTCATTGAGTTTTTTGATTGATAAACAATAGGTAAAAAATCACAATGAATGTTTACTAAAAATATTATAAATAAAAAATATTATTTTCTTTAAACTGGATTGTCAAAAAACGTAATTGAGTAAAATTCATTATTAAATAATTTTTATGGGATCATTAGTATGAAAATAAGAAGAATGAAATTAAGCAACAATTGAAAATTTTGTAAAACAATGAAGGTTCATCAGCTCAACATGAAATTAGTTATTTGTAAAATTAATGTGATACAAATTTCTCAGAGTTTGGAAACAACAAGTTGCAATTATTATCAGTCATAATTTTTGAAATTTTTTTCATCGTTTTACTATTTCATTTCGAAACCTATTATATGAAAGAATCTGTACGTTTCAAAACCGACACGTTCATCAATTTGAAAAACTTTCATATGTTCAATTGATTGGTTGATTCCATTTTCATAATTTATTTGTTTATGTAAATACGTTAATTTTTTGAACAAAAAAATTTAATTTGCATTATTAGCTAATTATTTCGTGTAAAATTTAATTCGTTAAAAAAAACAAAGGAACAATTGCAAAACATGTACATGACTTATATGCATGCGCTTTTTACCGCTGCCGTGTAAATCTAGGAGAAGTGGTAAAGAGCAGGCAGAAACATAATAGGTTGTATTTGTGATTGTACTAAATGCAGTGAAAAAAATATTGAAGTATGTAATTTTTAGTATTACTATCACTGTGAATAATTCGTAATCGATAGCAATTTCTCTTTCTAAGGATGAAAATTCTCCACTTCTAACAGTACATCATGCATGTTCTTGATTATTACTTGATTATTTTCAAAATAGTCAAACATAGTTTTAAATGTTTTAAAAAAAGTTTTTTTTTAAACATTTTTAAAAAGTAGTTTTAAAAAAACATTCACGTTTTATTATTTCTATCTAATTTTATGTTAGTATAATGCCAAGATCGCGTTATTTATTAAAATGTAAAAACTATAGATGAAAATAGAGAATAAATGATTTTTAAACAATTTTTTTATACTATAAATTTATTATCGATCTATTTATTAATTTTCAAGTTGAAAATGTCATTATGATTTTCGAAATTTATCAATTTATTTCAAAAATAAGCTCCCAGATGTGAAGAACAAGTAAACGATTAAATGGAGCGACTTCATCAAGAAGAGACCGATCTTATAGTTCATCTAGTGGTTGTTCTTCATCATCAAGTATTTATTCTCAATTTGACAATCCTATTAATGACCCGTCATATGAAGTTTCGGATTCACATATAAGTGACGTAAGATACTATACATAAATTTTAGTAATCATCTTATCTTGAAAATCAATAAATTATTCAATATAATTTTTAGAATAAAAATATTATCGATGAATTAAACACACAAATAGTGCATTTTTCAATTTTTTGTAATAAAATAACGCTTTTATTTTTCGTTTATAGTTGTAATGTGGACATTATAAAATTTCTTTGGTCAAACAATTGGTTTATTTTTTTAATATGTGGTTGTGTGCGTATCAAATTTTTTTTTTTTTTAGGATGATGAGAGTTCAAGAGACTCATGCAGTGACTTATGTAGTGGTTCTGATAAATCTTACTCTGTAAAGCAGAGTTTACTTCCTGAAAATGCTATGGTATCCAACGAGGAACGCCATGATAACATACAAAAGATTATTTAAGACCAGTTCTATAAACACGGAGAATCGAAAATTCAAAATATTGACGGACATTCAGACGCTAAAAATCAGATTTCAAAGGATCCAATATTGGATTTTGAAAAACCTCAAGAAGTTCAAAAGGCAAAAAAGGTAACAGTTGATTTATCTAAGGCGTTATTACAATTTAGGACTTTAATCAAATTTGATTGTTCAAAAAACTTTAAATTCTGTTACGATTAACAATAAAAATTATAATTGAAGCACTTATAATAGCCTCTTAAAGAAACAGTTTTTTTTCTAAATTATAGTTTCAGCTGACGAGGTATATAGAAGAGAAACGTTTCAAAAGAAAATGAACATTTCGCAAGTTTTGTGAGTCCAATGTGACAAACTTTGAGCGGCATCTTCAACGAAATCATAGTGATAGCAAAGAAATAAAAGATATGTTGAAATATTCAAAAAAAAGTAACGAGAGAAAAAAGATTATTCAGCTAATTAGGAATAAAGGCAATTTTCATAAATATTTAAGAGGAAATGTAAAACCTGTCTCTCTGCTTCGCAAAAACTAATAGCTTCTGCACTTGACTCCATTATGTAATTGACAAATTACGTGGCAAAAATGAAGTATTTGGAATCATGAGAGCGGACCAAATCTCTATAGTTGCCAAAACGGACACTTTAATATATTTGTATGCTGAAAGATACTTAAAAAAACATAAGAGAAAGCGAATGGCTGTAGTTTGCTTAAATATAATGCGAGAACTGGCTCGTCTACTCATTGAAATCAGAAACATTGAGAATGATCCTAATTTTCAACTGATAAATGCTATACAACCAGACATGTTTGAAAAGGTGTTGGAATGTGTAAAGAAACTTGGTGGATATGACATTGAAACCAATTCATATAAAAAATCAGCGAGTTTGGCAGCCCACTATGGCACCACTTTAAAGGAGTTTGCGATGTAATTACATATATAATTTCTACTAAAAAGCATTCTTCAATTTTATGATCAGAGGAGAAATCTAATGCAGTGATACGATTTAAAGAATTGATATCATTTCAGTAGACAACCGAAATCAGCAGCCTCGCGTTCAAAGATCTTAATGAAAAAAAATGGAGTAAACCGGTCATGTTACCACTAACAAAAGAAATAAATTAATTCAAAGATTATGTCACTAAAGTTGCTAATAAAGCTACTGCTATTTTAAAAGAAGATCCTAATAATGTTACACAATTCAAAAACCTTGTCAACGCAACTCTCACTTTAACTGTATTGTACAATAGAAGACGCATAGGAGATGTGCAATACACCAAACTACTAACATATCTTAGCAATTCTTCATTTACGAATCAAGAAGAGTTTTTAAACTCATTGACCGAATCAGAGAAAATGTTAACTAAGCATTACAAAAGAGTAGTGACTGGAGGAAAAGGCAGTCGACCTATTGTAAATTTATTTCCTCAAAATTTGCAAGATTTTATGAATGTCATGTTAGAAATCCGCACTTCAACTCGACTGGTTCCTGATTCTAACGAGTACCTATTTGCTCACCCCAAAAGTGATCGTTGGGTAAGAGCCGATACAACTATCAATCGATTTGCACAAAAATGTGGACTGGACCATCCTGAGCATATAACATCTAATAAGCTCCGAAAACAAATAGCCACGGTAGTCCAAATTTTATATTTAAATCAAGACGAAGTTGATAACTTCGCCCAATTTTTGGGCCATACTACTAAAACGCATGAAGAGTTCTACAAGTAAGTAAATCCTGTATGTCAGATGTTATACAATTTTTTCTAGTACTTGAACTTTAATAGTTGGTTTCTGGTTACTAACACATTTAAGGATCACATTTTTTTTGTTAGACCTCAAAAAGAAATTGTTTAAATATTTAAGTAAGTTTAAAACATTAATGATTTTAATCACAATTATTTCTTTCAGATTATCCGAAGATGTCTACCAAACTGCAAAAGTATCAAAACTGTTGATATTGATGGACAAGGGTATAGGGCACCAATATAGAGGCAAATCACTTAATGAAATTGATATTAATCTTGAAGTAGATGTAGCTGAATCAGAAGATAAAGATGAAGAACCATCACAATCTTTTACAGGAATATCAGTGAGTAATATTATGCCTTTGTCACCACAACCATCTTCGTCAAGTAACAAAAAATGTACGTAATTTCGATCTTTATTTTGTTATTGCGTAATCAATTAATTATTAGATTACTATCAAAATTCTGTTTTATTAAATCTAGCTTCTAAGCAAAGTGGGAGGACTCGATGGAATTCAGAACCAAGAACAGGTCGTGACAAGATACTTTAACTATCACATAAAAGAGCATAAGGCTCCTAACAAAGAAGAATGCGAGCGATTAATTGACCAGCATCCCAATTATTTCATAATGAAGATTGGGTGCGCATCAAGACTTATATTTACAATACTTACAGGGAAAAATAAGACGCTTTTTTACAACGACAAGAAAAGTTTCAAATTCACTCAATCTCAATTTTCTGCCAAAAATTACTTTCCAGTACAAAGTTATGTAACGCGCACCATTTTGCACTTTAATTACAATTATATTTTCTTGAAAAATGTAATTATTTACTCATTTGAAACAGACAACAATCATTTTTACATGTCTTACATCAAGAATAGAAAAATATATGAGAATAATGAGCTTTCGTATAAAAAAATTT